TTTGAAGCACCAACTAACTGTGCCTGAAATCCACCCTTGACAATTCCCTCTTCTTCTTTTCTTCCACCCAAGCTTCCTCACCCACTGGGATGCAGATAGATGAAGTGATTTGTTTGGCAACACATGCAAAAGTAAAGCAAAAAATAGAACTAACTTAATTATCTGCCCTATTTTTCTTTCCAACTTTAATGCCCAATGTAGAATCTTTATTTTATATGTTAAATAATTCCCATAAATCTTTAATGTTTTTCCAGAGGATCGCCATTTCATGGAAGATCCAGAATAGAAACTGCTTATTTCAATAGGGACTAATATTCACAGTGCTATTTAACTCAGCTTCCACAGACTGTAAAAGTATTTTTTGCGTTGCAATAACTTGTGAGTTATTACACGAATCGAACTACCCACCTAGCATTAATATTATTATCTTCCAAAAGCAGAAGCTTTATCTTCTGCTTCTGTCCATTAGTGTTGGCTGTTAAATTGTGTCCCTTAATTTTCTCCATAGTGACTCTATTCAGATTTCAAAAGCATTCGATCCTTCCTGCCACACATCCATATTTATAGTGAATAACAAAGTCTTTAACAACAAAGTACTCATCTGTAGTTGAATACTCCTAAAATATATTTATCATGGAAACAATTTTTCTAAACTGTGATTTTAATTTTGAATTCACGATCTAATAAAATGAGTGTGTTTTACGTTGGTGCTTGCCGCCGACACTTGTTGGGACCTTCTCTCTGATCAGATAACATTTTGGTGTATTTGGCTGATACCAGCAGTATTACCTCGTGTTGTGCAACCCTCCCAGGCCGTGTAGACAAAAAGAGAATTGCAGACAAAGAGAGAATTTTGGAGCCTTCGGCAGATTGTACAGCCTTCAGTGCTGTGTCAGGGGAGACCAGCTTTCCCCTCTTGCTGTTCTCCTGCGTTCTCCCTCTCAGTCTCTATTCTCCTGTGGTCTCTCCTCAGGGTGCAGAGCTGCTGCCCGTCCATCCTCATCTTACCCCACAGCCCTTTAGTCCGAGCTTCCAGGCCCAGCTGTCTACATTTACACGTGGGCTTCCCAGCTCTGTGAGCCCAGGTGTCCGTAGTCAAAGGCTCCCCTGCTCCCTGCTCCGCACCCATGCCCCAGGCATCCATGCAAAGTAGGAGGCTTACAAGACCACAGGTGGCTGCCCTAGGGGCTAACAGCAGGAGGTCATCAAAAGGCCTGGTTCACTTGATATCTGTAGGATTTTATTTTGATGTTGCTTTCTAGTTTGGGGAAATTATGAGTGATGATGTAGCGGCAGGAACGGGACACTGAGCAGGTTTTCTGACCCCATGCAGACCGGGTAAAGGAGGAATCAGAGTCCTCAGTGGTTTTTTGCAGGTCTTTTATTGGGGTTCACCATGCATATGGCAGGCAGGGGTGCTGGGGGGCCGGGAGGCCTGCCAGCCTCCCGGCCCCCCAGCAAATCCTCACAATCTGGGCTCTCCGGCCTCCTCTCGGCTTCTGCTTCTCTTGCTTCTCTCTCGGCTTCTCTTTCGGCTTCTGCTGCCACTGGGTGATGGGGTGGCCTGGCGGGCTGGGTGGCCGCGTTACCTGCCTCTGGGCCTAGCCTCGTCCCTGTGCCGAGTCCACATACCCCCTGCAGTTGCCAGCCAAGTCGGGGGCTGTGTGGCTGGGCGTTTCTGGCCTAGAGAGCTGGAACTTTGCACATGACATATGAGGTTGTTCCTGCTACAACTGCCCCCAGCCCTGTCGATCACTACTGCTGCTGCTGGCGTCCCCGTGACGCCGCCCTTAAAAGGTCCAGTCTCTCAGCCCAGGTGTTCCCACTTCAGGTGCCGCCATCAGGCATGCATTCAGGATCACAGGGTTCCCTCATCTATCCTGATGGTGGGAGGGCAGAAAAGCCCGATACCTTTTACCTTACCCTACAGATGACTATAAGAAAAAGCTGCATTTCTTTCTAATGTGGTAACTAAGCTCTGTGTTTTGGAAACTACATGGGGAAGGAAGTGCCTGCCTTTCTACTATTGACCAGAACAATGTCTGGCACGTGACAGATGCTCAGAGAAACTGCTGGTTGATTGAAAATGACAGATCGCAACTAGTGATGGGAATGTTTCCAGAGCTTACTTTTAGTTCACCCTCAAAAGGTTTGGTCTGCCCAAGACTCACATACTCCAGTAGCAATATCCTCAACCACACACAGATGTTGTCTTTGTAGATTCCACAGCTCATGACTGAAGTGTTGTCAGAAGGGAATTCTCACAGAGCACTGAGAAATGATCTAAGAAATTCTTATGATGATCGCTCAGCAGAGCCTTATCCGTACTCTACCAGGACAGTGCCAGTCCCCGCGCATTTCCAACGGCTTTATGAACAATGGCTGGACAAGTCAGAAATAAAACCATGCTGTATCCAAGTGCTTCAGGATACACAAATATTTTAAAAAGCCATCATTTAAATTCTGGAATATCTGAATGGCTATCCTCTGAGTGGCTCTGAGGAACAATGCAACACGAAGTTGTCTTTTTTTATTTTAAGATTTATTTTATTTATTTATGCATAAAAGAACTGGGGTGTAGGCCAGAGGTGTGGGGGTGAGGAGGGTAAGAGGATTCACCAGAGACAGAGTGGGGAGCAGAACAGGTGGATCTACTGAAATACACTGCTGAGGGGAACAAAGGTCAAGACAGGAGAGGTCTGCTGCGCCATGTGGGTAACTCCCTGGCCTGGGATCGAACATGTGCTGCAGTGGCTGGTGATAGAGCCTTTAACCCCTGTGCCACCAGGGAGGTCCCAACAGTGAAATTATCTTTTAGAAAATAAAAGCTGCTCCAAAGACCCACACAGAAGACAGAAAGCTGCTTGACTATTTGCAGAAGTAATACCCACCCCATCAGATGTAGAACCAATCATAGATATCATTTCCAATGAAAACACTTGATTTCCAAAAAAAAAAAAGAGCCTAGAGAAATTGAAGTCTGTTCATTTGAGATATTTGCCTAACTGGTTTCTATATGTTAATAGAATTCAGCCTGAGTAGTTCTTTGGATTAACTGTGAGAAAGATAACACTTTACGTTGAGTAAAGTATAAGTGAAGAAAAAGACAGGACAGTCCAGCAGAAAGCCTTTCATGTCACCAGGTTACGGAGGATGCTTCAGGGAGGAGTTTCAACAGGATGGTCAAGTTTAACCTCCCTGGATAACTTCATCAGGCTCATTACAGACATTTTCTCCTGTTTTCCTTGGAACTGAAGAATTATCCAAGCATGCAAATCCCCAGCTTCAGAGAGGAATGCTTGATGTTTCACTCACAAACACTGGGTGGGCATCACGCATGTGAGCACATTTGCCAACAGGGATCTCCTAGTAAAATGCACCTGTCCAGTCAGCACCTCTTGGGAACAGTGCTGGTCTGGTTCTAGAAGGAGTGGAACTTAATATGTTCAGTGGAACTTGATAAAAGTTGGGAAAGTAACCCCCCCAAAAAAAGTCTCATATATGTATAGAGAAGCCTACCTTCAATGTCCAGCAGAATTAAAAACCCCCTTTTGAAAAAGGATAGATACACACATTTATACATAGATGCACACACATACAATCTCCAGGGAATCTAAATTTCAGCAGCCCACAATTCAAATCCATCTGAGAGCTACACCCTTACGTACACACTCATCCATGCACATACACGATAAACCAAGAAAATTGTCCACAGTGAGAATGGAGGCTCAAAGTACCCAACTACAGCAGGCAAGGGTGCCACTTCCCCTTGGCGGGGGTTATCACCAGGTGAGCGTGTGCAGGAGGCTCAATGGACCCAGCGGCTTTCCTGTGACTGGCCCTGGGTAGATGCCAGCTGGAGTGTCCGAATTCCCCTAGACCCCATGGAGCCACAGCCAACAGCTTTGGGCCAGCCAGGCGTGGCCCTGAGTTACCTGGAGTGAGCAGGCATTCCTGGGGCGCTTCCAAGACACAGTTGTAGACTTGTCTTTACACATACGTGACTGGACTCACCTTTTTGTTTTAAATGGAGAATTGACACGTCATTTCTAACACCTGTATTATAATTTAGGGGTGTTGCTAGCTTTATTTTTAAAGCCTGTAGACCTCAACTAATATAATAGTTTTGTCTTGAGTCAAGGAAAGTATCTCATGAAAACCCTTTCATACAAGATAGCATTTGGTTGGGCAGGCCAGCTCTCAAAAGGGGCTGTTAAAAACCCCTACAGGAACCCAGACTTGGGGGTGACTGCTCTAAATGGGGGAGCACATGTCTCCATCTGCTTGGACTGCTATAGCAAAGAGACAGAGACTGGAGACTTAAACCAAATGGAACCACAAGTGTGAGGCCAGGGTGCCACAGGCTGGGTTCAAAGTGTCCTCTCTGACCTGCAGTTCTCTTTCTGCTTGTAAATGCCTCAGTCCTTTTGTGTTACAGCCACGTCCTTATGGACGCCTTTAACTTTAATCATCTCCTAAAAGCCCTGCCTGCAAATACCATCACCTCGGGGTGTTAACGCTTCAACATATGAATTGGGGGAGTCCACAGTTCAGTCCATAGCAAAGTGCTTCAATGCATTGTCCTCCCACATTACGGATTTTAGAAAAATTAGTGCACTTTTTGTAACACCCACTGTCATAGCCGTAACTTACCACTGAACACCAGATCTGATAAGAATCATACCTTCAGTGGGAAGTATTCTATGTACATATTTGAAAAATACCAAATCTTAGTAAATTCATTCCCATTTTACATCAGTAGACAATAGCAGCATAATTTTACTTTAAAAAAAAAAATATATATATATATATATATATATATATATGCCTGCACTTGGGGTTACTTAAAAATATCAGTGCAGCAGCCTAGGGAGACTGGGAGATGCATCACTGGTGACTCTATTCAGGCATCATCCAGGACTTTCCATAAAGCTAGCAAGTGTCACCACTACCCAGTCCAAATACAAGAAGCACAGAAGTTAAATGACAGTTCAGCCTTTTTGCTTAAGTCCTGGATTTTTAACCAAGATTTTTTATTACATAGAGAGGTGGAAAAATCTAGCATCACAAGTGCCAATAATTCTTGTGTATGTAGCTGGACATAATCTAGATGCGTGTTCGCAATTCGAGTGATGGAGGATGAAGCCTGGAGGAGGTAGAGCAATGTTTTTGCAGTTGTTCTTATTCTCTTGCAATCTGCTCATCCTCAGCTAGAGTTTAACAAATCCTAAGACACCTTACAAATTCTTACCTGTGCCTTAGCAGCAGGAGGCCAGGAATGTGTGATAATCAAAGTATGACTCAGGCAAGAAGCTGCCCTCATGCTATTTTTATCCAGATAGAAAATGGCAGGTTGTCATCGGTAGCATCTTAAGTGCTGCCTTTCCTCCAAGTCCGCTCAGGAGAGAGAAATATGCAGAACGTCAGGAGATGATGCCGCTTGTCAGTCTCTCCCTCTGCGTCACAGGCTCTTAGCCACCACACGGGGATCTGAGGCTGAAAGCAGAGGCTGCATTTTGAATTCTTCACAGAACACTGCACATGTAAATTTAAAATGCAGAGTCATCATTTTAAAGTGGTCAGTATTAGCTGTCACGGGCAAGAAAATCGCTCATCAAATGCTGGGGCTTACCGAGCATTGACACATCGGTCTCTGTCAGCATTTCTGGTCCACAGGGAAATGTTACACCGACAGCTAAAGTTGAGTTGAGTTCACAACTTATGTGAACAGAAGTTAAGGTGCAGGCAAAGAATGGAACAAAAATGTTTTATCTTACTCACCATCCTTTCCAGATTCTGATAAAAATATTTCCCCTAGTGTATAGTCAATAAATTGCTTCCAAATGGCCAGTGACATCATCACGCTTATTTGGCGTCTCCGGAGACGTGCTGTCTAATGCAGTAGCCGTAGCCTTGCGTGGCTAATTACATTTACGTTTAGAGTAAATGAAAGTGTTGCTCCTTGGCCACACCAGCCACATTTCAAGAGTCAGGTTCCCACTGAGTCTGCCAAGCATCCCGGGAAGTTCTGCTGGAGGACTTGACGGGTCAGACATGGGGGCTACACACCAGCCAAGCCCTTGGGTTCCTCTGGTGTGAGTCTGCGCGTAGGTTTTGTGTGTGACAGGTCAGGTGACAAAAATCAACAAACAAGCAAACACAAAATCCAAGCATGGAGAGTTGTGGGTCTGCCCTCTGTTCATGGGATTTGGTTTTACCTTTTGTTACCTTTTGGGGCCTAGACTGTGGGACTCTGCAGATCCTGCTATTAAGGCAGGGGCTTGTGAAGAGCTGACAGCTCACCCCTGTGGGCTTCTTTAGAGTGAAGAGCATTGTGATGTGCTGTTTGGGAGGAGATGGGGGTGGGGCTTCCATGGAACTCTCATGCCCCAGGACTCTCTGCTCTGTGCCCCACTCCCACCCTAGCCCCTGGGGGAGCTGGCAGTCTGGGGTTAGTTGTCTCGAGGCATTGCAATGCCTTGGCTGTGTCCCTGCTCTGTCAAGGGCAGAGGAAACTGTCCCTGTACGTTCAGACAAGCCACACAGATCACCGCAGCAGTTTCTGGATCCGGGGCTATCCCCCCAGGTGCTGAACCGGAGCTTTCTTTCAGCACATTCCCACCTTCTCTCCATGGCCAAGTCTGTGTCCTTCCACCAGGTAGCCTGGCCCAGAACCACCTTCCCCTGCAGTCTCTGATCCTCTTACCTGCCTTCTGTTTTCTTGCCAGGCTCCATCTTTTCCCTTAAAATCTGCTTCTGATTCTCAGGGATCTTCCTGAATTCAAAATTCTCTTTCCCCTGGTTTTATTGGGATCAGGGTGTGTGGAATGCTGACTTTCCCAAAGGAGGAAAGCCTCACTCCTGCCTCAAGCCACAGGCATATAACTAGAATACATTGGGAGATGCGAATCCACATTATACTGAGGTATGCATGCATCTCAATGGGCAGCAAAAGTCAGGACAGTCAGGAGCCTCCTGGTGAAGTTTGGAGATTGGCAGGCCATGGGTGGGACTGACCTGGGGCTCCTGGAATCCCCCCCACCCCCAGGGCAAACAGCTGCCTCTTCTCAGGGAGTCTGGTGACTCCTGGCAACACTGGAGAAGGTCTCAGGATGACAGGCACGAAGCCAATGAGGGTCTCAAATGGCTTAAAATGTGGTGCCTATATTTGGACTGCTTTTTAGAGGCTTATTCTGAGGGCCCCTGTTCATGTGAATTCAGGGGGCCCCTCTGCACAGTCAGGTTGTATCTGTCCTTGCCTGTCCCTGTCTGCTTATTAGTGCTTTCTCAACAAGTAGCTGCCTTTTAGCTGATGACTTCAGTTGCTCTGAGTTGGTCCTACTTCTCTGTCCATCAGGACCATCATAATATCAGTCTAGTACCAGCCCTTGTGCACCAAGCAGAGCTCTTTAGATCTTTGTTCTGATGACAAGCAGGGTTATTCAAGCCTGTCTCCTACCCTCAGACACACAGGGGGCTCAATAAAATGAAATACTCACTGTGCAGGCACAGTTCACGTGTGTGGAGGTCATTGTCCAGCTCAGGCAGCAAAGGAAAATAGTTTTAAAAATTATGTAATTTTCATAATGAAGGGGACAGGACTTTGCTGAATCCTCCATCCTAGACCATGTGACTCTCCCTGGATTTCCAGTTTTGGAAACACTATTTATGTGTAAATAGTACCCTTTCTATGTCAATCTTTCATAATTAGCCTTCTTTTGTTAACTGTTCCAATGGAAAACAATCCATCTGGAAATAAATGATTAAATTACATTTTGATTTCCAGCTTTGAAACAAGCATTGCTAACTCTTTCAAATTTGAGAATTTCTTTGTACAGTGGGAGATAAACTTAATTGAACTTCCCCCGTGAGATTTAAAATATTTGGAAATGCACTAAACATAAAGCTAAAGGATACACACACACACACATCTGGGATTAAAAAATATGTATTTGTCACAAGAATACCAAATAAAAAGTCTCACAAAACACACTGAGCAATTCTGAATGTTTTTAATGTCTCTTAGAAACATGTGTTGGGATAAGCCAGGAAACATATTTCTTCCTTTTTTTATTGTCTTTTTTGGATTCTTGATTTGGATAGGATTTTTTTTTTAAATCCCTAGTTCCTCCACTCCACTTTGTCTCCACATTTCACTCGTCAGTTCCTTTGAATCAGTATGACTGCATATTTTCTATTAGACAAATTTTTTTTAAGTTTTACATTTTATAGGAAAATTGAGGAGAAAATCCAGAGGTTTCCTGTGCACCCCATTCCCCAATAATTATCACCTTATATAAGTGGGGTACATTATATTATATAACCATAGATTATATATTTAATTATTTTAGTTTACTTAATTTAATGTAATTGTATATTATAATTAGCTGATAGTGATATATTATTTTAGCTAAATTCCATAATTGATTCTGATTGTCTAAGATGTGACTGAAATTCCTTTTTCTGCCACAGGTTCCATCCTGGATACCAAATAACATCTAGTTGTTATGTCGTCCCTGGTTCCTCTTGGCTGTGACATTTTTACAAATTAATCTTGTTTTAGCTGACTTGACAGCATTGTGAATACTGCAGGATGTCCTACTCTCGGAACTCACCTGGTATCTCTCCCTGTAAGGCTGGGTGATGGCTTATCAGAGGGAAGACTGCACACCCAACCACCATTTTCATCACATCGTCAAAGGTGCACGCATCAACATGATGTCAGCCTCCACCAAAGGAGTATTTGTCAGGCTTCTCCACTTTTCTAAACATTTATTACTATTTTTTTAAATTGAGGTCACATTGGTTTACAACACTATTTATCATTCAGAATGATAGGTCACATTGCTTCAGATATATGTTACCATACCCCTCCCACCACCAAGATATGCAGAGCCAATGGAAAATAGTACAGAGTTTCTCAAAACCTTAAAAATAGATCCACCACATGATCCAGCAATTCTACACCTAGGGGTCTACCTGGAGAACACAAAAGCGTGAATCTGAAGGCATGTGAGCCCTCCAGCACTCACTGCAGCTCCATCAACAGCAGCCAAGCCGTGGGAACAGCACAGGTGCTTGAGGGCCGAAGTGTGCATTAGGAAGACGTGGTGTGTATACACAGCAGACCACTACTCAGTTATTTAAAAATGATAAAATTTGCCTCCACTTTTGTTAATTTGTTCTTGTTCTTCATGTCAATGATGGTTCCTACTCCCCAGAGTTTTGCCATCCTCTGAGGTCAGAGGCAATGTGCTTTCTTGAATTTATGAAGCCTACACTTTCCTGTGATGTCGCAAAATGCCTTTGGCATAGCAGATATTTAGTACATGTTTGTTAAATTGAATGTTAAAGGTAATTATAGCAATGCTGTATCTGCAATAACCCCTACAGAGCCCGTGTCACAGGTCCTTCTTTGAGAAGCTTTCCATGAATTCTCCAGGCTACGTGGCTCTTCTCGTTGCTTACAGTCTGACTGTCAGCACAAGGCAACTCTGGTCCTTCAGCTTTATATAAAAGTTTCATGAGCATTCAGTTTTAAGCTGATCTAGGGCATAGTCTCTGTCATACTGGTTTTATTTCTCCTCTTTGGAGTTTTTATAACTCTCTAGCCTAGTGATGCCTCTAAAGTGACAAGTCAATAGAACTTGCAGGTTGATGATTAACTCGGAATTCAGCAGATTTTTACTGAGTCAAAATAATAAAATTTTCACGTTGAAAAAGAGGAAAGTATGTCTGCTAGGTAAGAAGAAATCAGAGAAAATATATTGACGTTGATTTTTGCTCATTATCCCTCTGCTTTTAAGCCTTTGGGGAAAATCATTAACAGTTTCAGCAAAATAGCTAGTAGTATTTTGTTAGTTTCAAGGATAAATAAAACAGAACTAATGATTTTAGCAACAGAAAATAACAGGTATTGACACTGAAATTTCTCTGCAAATTACTAGAAAAAAATGTACCGGAAGCCTTCAGCTACAGCAAACAACAATTTCTAAGTGCCGTTTCTTTCCTATATTTGACAGACTGTCTCGAGAGAGGATTCTTCATGTAGCTGGTGTGGAAGGCAGGCAATGGCGTGGCAGGCATCCGGCTTGCTTTAAAATCACCTTTATATAACAGCCTGCAAGTAGACTTTATTATACATCTCACTGCTTAAGGGAATAACCGATACGTGCTGAGCAATTTGTTGTCATCTCTACCTTCACCATTTTAAAAGAAGATTAAAATCAAATCATTTTAAAAGTAGTTTTAGGGACCTAGTCAAATAAGGGCATTTCCTTTCCAACTTTGCCAAGGGATCTAAAGAGTTTTGAAGAGGGCAGAAAATGTGTGGTGCTTGTTTGAAGCCAAGTTTAATATTAAGGTTCCTATGCAAAGGATGTTAGGTAGGCTGAAAGAAACAAACTCAGTCAAAACCATTCAAATAAAATGGGTGGGTGTCAGGAGAGGCAAAGAGAGATTCTAGATTCTAAGATCTAGAACTGGGGACAAGCTGGCATCAGGGATTTTCAGCTCTATCCAGTAACAATTTTTCTCTATTCAAACTTGCTGTTTGAAAAGAGCAGCAATCTATTGAAATTAGTGTAAAAAGAAGGACTCTAAGAGAATCTGTTTGTAGCCTTTGGGTTATCTCATCCAGTTTCATGATTTTACCCCTCTGCTAATGATTTCTTAATTCCTCACTTTCTCGGATCACGCTTATAAAACTGGAATCAAACCCAATTGCCAGCCTTTCTCTATCCCTGCTATCTCATCTGGCTGCCAATTAATATTAATTTATAATATACACATATTCTCTTATTATCTGCCTCCTCTCCTCCCATTCAAATGTAAGTCCTGAGAACACAGATTTTATTTCATTCATTCCCTTAGTTGTAGATTATAGACGATGCTAGACTTCAAGTAGGTGCTCAAATTTAACTGTAAGGTGAGTAAATTGAGAGTCTAAAATTTTGTATCATAATAGTGCTAAATTAATTAAGCAGGCAGGAGGTGGTTATTATTTCAGCAAACCAGAATCTGAGACTGTAAATGCCTCGAGGTTATGAAATTGAAACCTAAGGGTGACCAGTCACAAACAGCCATGTGGGTCGGTGTGAAGTGAGCTAATCAATATCCTCATACGTGGCTTCCTCCTTTTCCCTGCCCAAGACTCTTCCTGATCTCCTGGGAGTGCTCAGCTCTTCCTGAGCCTCTGTACACTACTGGCCTCCCACATGGATTTATGTGCTCACATAAACTCAATATGTGTAACAGGCCTCAGTGTATCTCTAAACGGTAGCAAAACTCAATTTATTCACCTGGGGTTGCACTAGGATTGGAAACTTCTGTAAAAACTTACCTTGTCCTCAACTTTGCCTTAGGAGTCTACGGCACCTCAGCAACGCCTCTGCCGCCAACCCTCCACTCAGGCGTGCAGACCACACTCCTGTGCTTCCTCCTGGGCACATGACGGAGCAGCAGCCCTGAATCTAAAGGGACTTTCAGAGTCATCACCCCACGCTCACCCCCATCTCCATCCATCTCATGGTAGACCCTGAGCCTTCAGTCAAGCAGTGTAGAAACACTGGTCGGTCGCTCTTGGAGAACGGATTAGCTCTGTGGGACCTGGAGCTGAAGTCTCAGCACATCCATTTCATGTAGAACCTCCCGCTCCGCCTCTGACAGCCGCCTCTCCGCTCTGGAAGATGTGCTGTGTGGACAACGGCAGGAGAAGGCAGTTTGGACTGAGTTGCTTTTCTCCAACGTATCAAATGCATGTTTCAAAAATATTGGCATTATTTGCCTTTGTACTCTGTGGGGATTCCCCGCCTTTTGCTTGTTCATCTCAAAATGTTGCGTAAGCACCAGCTCCTTGGCCACGTGCTGTGCTACTGGAGGTGCTGGTGGCGACCAGACAGACAAACAGACGTTCTGCCTCTAAGACGACCTTCACTGACTGCATCACACTGCCCTGTGGGCCTCGCATCTCTCAAAATATTCCCAAAGCAAAAAAAAAAAAAAAAAATAGTGATTTTTCACACCAATTCCTTGCCTTCGCTTACTTTGTACTTTTGCATCAAAGGGAATAAAGTGGCTGTCACCAACCAGGGTTCTGAGATGATGTGCATCTTCCTGACTTAATTAGTGGCAGGGGGAATCAAAAGCTCAGGAAGGTAAATAAATGTACTACTCTCATGGAGCAAGAAGTCTAAGAAATTCTATTAGATGACTACTGTCTGTCCCATCAAAGACGTGTCCGTAATCCACAAATACTGCATAAAACTATGCTCGGGTCTTCAGACTCCAATGCTTGCACCTCTCCCGTTTGCAAGACTCCAGGGTTTGCAGTTCTGGTGGGACCCACTGCCTGCCCTCTGCGGACCGTCTGGGCTGACACCTACGTCTGTGCTTCCCAAGTTCTCAGGAATCTACTGGCCACTCATTGCTCTGTGATTTCTCCTGGTTTACTTTTTAAAATGTCTTCCTGATCACTTCTTGCATTAATTAAAGCCAGGGGTCTGTTAACTGTAGTTGCTAGAGGAAAGGCGGTATCTTTGTGTTCACAATCTCGTCCATAGTGTTTTAAGTAAGCCTGAGTCATAGTGAATGTTGGATTGAGCTCTGTGTGTGCGCATCGACATGAAAGAATGTTCAAGTGAGATTGTAATGATTGATCATGGACCAAGAAATGAAGAGGTAGAGAGAAATTCCTGAAAATATATTCAAATTCTCCAGGTTCAGAATTTCCAGAGTTTCACTGTAGCTGCGATTTTTATTTCCCTTTTGTACTTATTTAACTGGAAATATTTAAAACATGTTAAAATATACACTGAGGCATATTAAATTTTTAAGAGTTTAGCTGAGTAAAAAACAACTGACAAAATGCACTTGAGTTGGACAGTCAAACCAGGAGGAGTTGGATGCTCCAGCAGAAGTTTGGCAGAGGCTGTTCTAGAGAAGACAGAGGTCAAGAGAGTATTTGAGCAAAATTAAGTTCACACCCTCGGCAGGTGGGACGGAGCCCCAGGGGCTGCTCAGGGCAGGCCTTTGCAGGTGGGCTGGCCAGAGACAGGCCGCTGGGCAGACAGACTGGGGCTGTCCACTTCCAGACCCACTTCCAGGGGGCCCTTTAGTGCCACCAGGAGACTCCCCACCAGCTGGGTTAAGGTTCCTTTGCTAAGAGAGCTGAAGCTGTGGTTAAGTCCTGCAGGGGCTGGAGGGCGCAGGGCAGGATCTCTGTGGTTGGAGCAGATGGGGTGAAGGAGTCCTGGAGCCCTAGGTGGCTTTTGCAGGCTTTTATTGGGATTTATGGGGGTTGCGGGGGAGGCGGCCGGGAGGCTGGCGAATCTTCACTCTTTCTGGGCTCCCTCGTGTCTCTTCTCCTTCTGGCTCGTCCCTTCCGCTCTCCTGCTTGTTTTCCTTACTGCTGGTTCTGCTCCTCTGGCATCCCATGACGCCGCCCTTCTGAGCCCAGTCTCAGCCCAGGTGAACCCACCTAGGTCTGCCCACACCACACTCCAGGGGCCGCCATCAGGCATGCATCAGGACCGCAGATCCATCATCCATCCTGATGGCGGGAGGGCAGAGAAGCCTGACGACCATTCACCCTGCAGTCCCGTCTGGTGGCGCAAGGCCTGGCGTCTGGACTGCACCTGTGCCTGTTGCTATCCATTCCCCTGAGAAAATTAGTGGCCGCCCCTTAGACTGCTCCCTGGAGAAGCTCGGCTGCCCTTCCGCTGGGCTGGGGGCCTCTTGGCAGCTGGGGCGCTGCAGTCCCTTCAGCCCCGCCTGTCACTGGAAGGCCCAGCTGGCATGGGGGGCACAGGTGTGTGGGGAATGGAGTGAGCTGGGTGGGGACGCCCCGCTGCACAGGCAGGAGCCGGGGCCTGCAGGGAGCCCCGCGCACCTCCACGCCCAGGCGGTCCCGCTCGACCTCTGCACACATGTGGTCACTGCGGCCTCAGCGGGGAGGCCAGGCCTCCTCGGCTCCCTCCTCTCGGCTTGACGGCCACAGCAGTTGGCTGCCTGGGGGCAGAGCCGCTTCGAGAGGGACTCTTGGGTTTTATTAAAAAAAACAGAGCTTTTTTATTGCTGAGTAACATTCCATTGTGCGTATAGACCACATCTTCTTGATCCAGTCGCCTGTTTTGGGGCATTTGGGTTGTTCCCATAGCTTCCCTATTGTGAATAGCGCTGCATGAAACATAGGGGTGCAGGTGCCCTTTTGAATTCATGTTCACCGCGTCCTTTGGGCAGATGCTGAAATGAGCCAGATGGAAAAAGAAACACACCAGATAGTCTCACTTACAGGAGGAACGTAGAGGATGCAAATAAGGGATCAGGGGGCAAAAACCTCATTATAATAAAGTAAAAATCAAAATCAACAGGCAAGGATAAACCAGAGGCCTTCTGCAGGGGGGAGACGGGAGTAGGATCAAGACAAGGGTGGGGGAGCACAAGGGACCCTGGTCAGAGCTCCTGGGTGACAGGTGGAGGCGATGTCACGGGGACGACAACCAAAATGAAAATGCAGACATTGCACAAAAATGGAAAATCATGTAAAAAATATATAAAATTAAAAAAAAAAAGCCAGAACTGCTCTCCTGTCTCTGCCTGGCCCGGGGGGTGGGTCGAGGCGCCCGTGGTCTCCCTGGCCCGAGGGTGGGTGGAGGCCCAGGCCCAGCTGAGCCACATGAAGCATCCGGCCCCGCCCGGCCTCGCCTCTGAGCCTCGGCTTCTCCCTCTGGTGCCCGCGTCTCTCCCCCGCTGCGCTGCGAAGGGTGAGTGTCTCTGCGGGCTCTGGGCCTCCCGGGGGTCCTGGCCTCCTGCCCGCCGCTCCAGGCCACGTTCCCAGCCTGGCCGGGGCTTTCTGCTGTTTCAGGAGAACTTGGGCGGGAGGGGACACGCGGCTTCCAGTCTCAGGTTTAGCTGCTCTGGGGAAAAACCAAACCAGAGCACGAAGAAGGTCCCATGGGCCCCGCTGGCGGAGTCGTGGGACATGCTGAATAGCCTTTCAGATTTCCTCAGTGTTCTTGCCTCAGCTCTGGAGGTGAAGATCCTGAGGTGGAAAATAGTTTAGTTGCCTCAGGTGGCGCAGGGAAGGCTGTCGGGGCCTTTCTTTACCCAGAAAAAGGAAACAAGCTCAGGGAAGAGGGTTCTGCGTTTGAGTTGTTATTTTGGCCTGAGACTTAAATTTCCAAAGAATTGTTTTTCAATTTGGTTTTAGTTATTTACACGTTGTTTTTTACGACAGTTTAATCATGGACTTTTTATTCAGTATTTTCGGGTTCTATAATCTGATTTTTTCCAGAGAAAGCCCTGGCTGCTCTGTGGCGCACTAGCAGGGCTGGGTGGCGGGTGGCGGCTCGTGGCAAGGGCGTGTTGAGACGGCGGGTCCCGGACCTCGCCTGTCCTGGTGGGAAAGGCAGCATGAGCATGCACACCCAGCGTCCCGGGCTCTCCAAACCCCCGGGCAGGGAAGGAGACAGCGGGACGGAGGCCTCGCAGGTAGGCAGGCCGGGGCCAAAGAACCGAACAATATCTGTTCCAAGCTGTGAAAAGCTGACTTTGAAAAATGACTGTGTGGACCCCCCAGGCCCGGAGCCATTTCCTGCTCAGGAAATGTGTTTGGGGGTGGGGGGTGGGAAGCCCCAGGCCTCAGCTGTGACCAAGCCCCTTCCTGGGTTACTGCAGGGTGAGTGAAAATGATATCAGGCTTTCCTGCCCTCCCACCGTTGGGATGGATGACGGATCCCTGCGGCCCTGAAGGCTTGCCTGAGGGCGGCACCAGGAGTGGGGTGTGGGCACGCATAGGTGGGCACACCCGTGCTGAGAGACTGAGCTTGTAGGGGAAGCGGCTCAGGGACATGAGCAGAACCACGAGGAGAGCAGAGAAGTGGAACAAGAGAGCCCAGACAGAGTGAAGGCTTGCTGGGGCCGGAGGCCTGGCAGCCCCCCAGCCCCCCAGCACCCCTGCCTGCCGTGTGCCTGGTAAATCCCAGTAAAAGCCTGAAAAGCCACTGAGGGCGCCAGGACTCCTCCCTCACCTGTCTGCTCCGGTCATAGAGCACCTGCCCCGTCCCTTCCTGCCCTTACAGTTACCCAGCGGGAGATGGTGCTGTGGTTGCTGGGGGCGCCTCACCAGGTTCACCTGTTTCTTCTGTACTTTCAAAACCTCTTAGAACGACCCGAGGCCTCCACGTAGACCGCAGTGAGCTCTGACTCTCTGCACCTGCTCCCCCGCGTGCCCGCCCGGAACCACGCGGCCCCTGTGCCCAAGGCTGGCCGAGCCCAGTGGGTCTCCGGCCTCAGAATCAACCTCAGCACCTGGAGGGTTTGCAAACGGCGGGTTGCTGGCTTGACCCTCCTCCTGCTTTGGTGGAGGACATGCAGAGTGGAGACGGAGGATGTGCAGGGCACATTCTGGTCTTGGGCACCCGCTGGTCTTGGAGCCTTTCCTCCCGCTCACGTGGCCCCTCGGAGTCCCCCACCTCCTGCCTGGGCACCTCTCGGCCCCTCTGCCTTGTGCGCTGCCCTCTGGGGCTGTGGTTTCTTGTTGACGCCCACTATTCCCTTCCTTTCCCCCCTGGCTTTTCCGCCCCTTTTCATGCGGAGTTTGTTGTTCGTTGATAACAAGCTCGTTGAGGCTCCAGAGTTTATGCTGTTTACCTGCGTATCCTTATTTCTTGCCGTTGAGTGTTTTCTTGGAAGAATTGGGGTCACTTGTCAGATTCATAAGTTTTACCAAAGTTTTGTTTGCCCTGATACAGGGATTACTTTCAACTACTTTGGGGCCAGAGGCTGTGGGTTTGCGTGTCTGTTCTGCACCTTTGTCTTCACCTCTCTCTGGAATGATGCTGGAGGTGCCTTACTATAGCGCTGGTGCTACATGGGCCAACACGGGCTCGTAGAGTGTCTACGATACATACATGGTGATTCTACCCTCCCTAAAATACAGGATTCACCAGGGTTATGATTTATGCTCACATAGTCATGACAACACCAGTGTGTTCTTGTGGGTCAGGTGGTTTGGAGATAGTCTCAGTAAAACTTGGATTGAACATGAGAAAATTTGCAGTTGGAAGATTGTCAGTAGGAACTAGAGCAACCTGTTGACGCTTTTCCTGTTGAATATGCAGCATTCACATGGCAGGTGTTA